GGGAAGGCTGGTTATGTATGCAAAGCCCTGCTGCCTTTCCCTGGTGCCGGCTGCACACCTGTGCCCGTTGCATCATGAGCCGCCTCTGTCTGGTCGCCGAGTGCTGGCGGTGCTCATGTGGCCCCAGCATGATTGATGGCTGGATTCAGGTACTGGGAGCTCTCCCTGTCAGTGGGAGCTTGCCTCCACACGCCTCTGCACCATCAGCCTCTTTCCTCCCGGCACAGTTGTCAGGTTTCCCAAAACAATGATTACCTTTCCCCAGAAACAAACCTCTGTCCTGACACCTCTCCCAGCTGGAGTCTTGCTCCTCTGTAAGGGTCTGTGCCCGACCTCCCAGGGCTCGTGTGAAACTTCATTCCTTCATACTTGTGAGACACACCAGTGTGAGAGTGCAAGAATAGAGTGGTGCATGCTCTTTATCTTGCTATTTCAATGGGGATCAGTTGGGCATGCTTTGGTTCATGTCCCTGCACTCCATGGCATCCCATGCCTTTTGATGGCTTTCACTTTGGCCAAAATTTTTTTGGTTTTTTTTCAGTATCCACGCGATGTCACTCATTTTTCCCCTCAAAGTTCTGTCTTCCTCCTTGATTACCTTCCCCCAAAAGCAAACCTCCATCCCGACACCTCTGCCAGCTGGAGTCTTGCTCCTCTGTAAGGGTCTGTTCCCTTTCTCCCAGGGCTTCATTCCTTTATGTTTGTGAGACATGGCAGCGTGAAAGTGCAAGAATAGAGTGATGCATGCTCTTTATACCTGATCACTATTAGCAATTGCAGCCATGCAAGATGCCCAGGTTCTACCTCGGAGGCCACTATGCCCCCTGAGGGAAGGACAGCAGCACTGGAGGCATTAGCAGGAACAGCAAGGTGAGGCTTCTCCACCTTCAAAGTGTCCATCCTTAATCTCCAAGGACCTGAACGTGCCTGCAGGCCATGGCAGCTGCTCTGAAGGGTGATGCAGGAACTTCATGTCTGCAAGCCCAGTGCTGAAACGACTTTGAATTACCAATTCCTTCTCACTCTGAAAATAAGTCCCATTTGCAGCCAATAATTACTTAGAGTGAAGTAAAAAGTTATTGAAATGCCATTTTCTTCTCTTTCTAAATCCAATTAATTGTTTTAAAGCATTAACATCACTTGGTTTTGTGGAATATTTTTTTAAATGCACATATTTAGGCTGAGTTTCCAGGTTATCCTTGACACCCCTATCAGGGTACACCAGCCAGGTTTTTATTTTCCTCAAAAGAAATGGGGAGAGGACTCTTGTTTCCAACCACTGCTCCCTCCTCCTGGCTATGCAGCCATACCATAGCTCCACAGGTGCTGGAAAGCAGGACCCTTCTGTTGCTGAGTGATTTTAGGCAGCAAACATTGGCAGCCACCTGCCTTGCCCTGTTTCAGCTGCACTCAGCAATGTGTGGAAGGGAGGGCAGAAAAAGCAGGAGAGCATGTTGGAAGGAGTTGAGGCTCCCTTCATCTTCTCTTCTGTGCTTCAGGAAGGGGTGGACTCAATGAATAACCTTCCAGCCTTTCTCAGGGCTACAGAGAGGTGAAACCCAGAATCCTGCTGAATCTGAAGCTCTCAGTCACAAAGTCAGCATCAATTATGAGATGTAATCCTGCCCTCAATCTCAAGTTCTGTTCATAGTCCACTCTCTATGAGATCGATATTAATAAAAGGATCATATGAAGAATTTCCCTAGACTACAGGTAAAAATTCTCTCAGTGCTTCACACAGACTTTCCTTAAGCCACAGCAGAAGAGATTTATTTGGGAATCCTTTATTTGACCAAAACCCCCATACATACGTTGGCTTCTCATAAAAATCATCTTATTTTTGATATTCAAAAATTTTGCATGTTCACAATGCTGAGGGAACTTATCAGTGCTGGTGGTGATCACAGAATCACAGAATTCACAGGGTTAGGGGGATCTCTGGAGATTAACTTGTCCATCTTCCCTGCCAGGCAACATCTTGCAATGTTTTGCAAAATCTTCTCAGAGTACACAAACTTATTTTTTCTTTCTGTTCCTGCGTGGTTGGCTTCAGTCAAATGCTTTCAGCTTTTTGTTTATTCTATCTCTGCTGTAGATTTGTCTTTTATGAGTAGTCTGTTTAAAAATTATTTTGTATGCAACGAGAAATAACATTATTTCCTTTTTCCAAGAATAAGAATTGTTCCTTCAGATTGTCTCATTTTCCCCTTCCCTTCACCTCCAGAAAAGCTTGTGTTTGAAAAACCTTCAATTTCCATTAAGCAGTGATTCTGCAGATAATTAGGATTTAATTTCTCTGACCAGCATCCTCAAGGGCATTCAGATGCCTTCTGCTTCACCATTCCTGCTTCACATGAGCAGGAGCACTAATCTCTTCCTGCTCTACCCAGATGTTGGAAAGCTGAGTGCTCAAAAGCGTGCTCAGCTCCTACAGTGGTTAGTCAGGGCCCTCAAGGGAGAACATCAGCACTCAGTGCAATCTCCCTTTGGCTTTCCCCTTCACCCTGCCTCCTCCTTTTCCATGCTTTGCATGGGTGCTTGGGTTCTACCTCCTCTGAAGAGCTTCAGCTCAGCCCATTCCATGCCCAGAGGCAGGTAATAAAGGTCAATCTCAGATATAATGAAAGGGGACAATGAGGCTGTTCTGGCCGCTCCTAGTTTTCCCCACTGCTTCTCACGGGCTCTGCAGGTTCTTCTGGTTTCTCCACCAGGCCTGAATGTCAGGGGGAGGCTGTTCCCACCACCATCCCCAGCTGTTCTTCAACAGTCATGTCCTTTGAAGATGTGCATAGTTAACATGTTATTTCAAAATACCAAAGGTCACATTACCTTTCCTTTTCCCTTCCTCCCGCTGGAAAATGAGGGCAGGAGCAATCACTGAGTAAACAAGAAGGAGCTGGTTTGCAGAGCTGCTGTGAGGGACTGGGGGCTCCACCGGACTGGCCTGATGCAGCCACAATTCCCTTTTTTCCCACCTCACCCTGTAAATTAAAGTTTCACAGGTTTGAAAGATGCTCTGGTGCAAAGCATTTCCCCTACATCTGTGTTGGCCCTTTTGTCACAGAAAATCTGGGTAGATATCCAGACACTCATGAGGCAACAAAAAAGCTCAATTTTTTCCTGCATCTTTTACTCAAAATCCCTTTCTGGAGCTATAGAACTGATTTTCAGCAGTCATATTAAACCACAGGAGGCATTGCAAATCACCTGTGTGAGGGGTGAGGGTTTGGGAAATAAAGATATGTGTAAGTCAGAGACCACCCCAAATTCTAGATGACCCTCTGCCAAAACAGGAATCAGAGCTGTCTTGGGTTTCTCCTTTTGCAGCCTACTGTGCACCAAGGCTCCTACTCGCTTTTTCTGTGATTCCCATGAGGTATGCTGGCCCTGAAGGATCAGAACTGCAGATCTGCTTGGAAATTGCATCATGCAAGCAGAAGGTCTACTGGGTAGAGCTGGGCCCTTAAGAAATACTTTTATGGGACTTCTGAAAAGCAGGTGGTCTGACACACAGAAAGCACATTAACACTAATGAAGATAAAAAATTTCACAGAAAGATAATTGTTTGCCTAGCAGCTGAATTTATTTCGTTCTCAAGTTGTAATTAAGGGAAAAGTTGCAGTTTAGAATGCAATCTGGTTTTCCCTCTTTTTTTTTCTTGCCTAATAAGCAGAGCAAGAAGTTGATTCATTTTTATCTACAAGGGAGAAATGTATCATTTTACCCACACCTGATTTAACTGAAATGAGTAGAAGACAGATAAACAGCTGGAGAAACCTGAGAAAAAAACCACTGAATTCAATTTACCAGAATCTTGCATGCCTGGGAAATAAAAACAGAAAGAAAGAAAAATAAATTAAAAACAAAAAGTGAGGAGTCAGCCATCGACAAGCAAATTTATACCTTAAGATGTTGAGTAGTTAAATCACTTTTTTCCAACAGCAAGTAAGGATGAGATATTTCTAAAAACCTAGGTGTGCTAATTGTTACTATGATTTACTCTCTGTATGTGTGCAATGTTTAGGAGTTGTAGACTTAGCAGTCCAGCAGTCACACAAAGCTTAAGGATGTCGAAAAACAAAACTGGTCTCAGATCAATGCATGCTGCTCAAAAGAGCAAAGGAACACGGAAGGAAAAGAAAGGGTCTGCTCCAGAAAGGCTGCAATCAAAGTAGACGGCAGGCAATGAAAAGCAGTCCTTCCGTCAGCTTAAAGACAAGGAAAGAAGAGGGCAATACTGAATAAAGGAGAATTTTCTCATGAGAGACACATCAGGTTCTTGTATATGTCTCTACTCCATTAATGAATTTTGTTAAAAAAGGAGCAGGGACAGTCTGTTGTATCAAAATTGGAAGGAAGGTTCATTGGATAGGGACAGAATTGCAGAAAGATAAACATATTTCGAGGCATAGAAAATAACATTTAACTCTGCAACAACTTGCCATAACGTAAAAAGTTTGGAATATCAATTTGGATTTCGGATCATTTGAACTCAGTTTAAAAAAAAAATCAAGTATTGTTTTTCCTTTAAAATAATCCATCATATTTGTGCACAAATTTCAGGATGTATTGAAGTGTACAGATCAAACAGGGAGAGATGTCTGAATACCTTTGAGAATCTGGCTCTCATGTTCACTCCATTCTGATGAGTGTTAAGGTAATGGTCAGACTGCTGCAAGGTTATAAACACTGACCTCCTGGATACACCTGCAGTTTTATATGGAACATGACATTTTCTCTAACAGTGACTGGGTTCAAATGCATCTGAAAAGACAATAGTTATTTACATGAAAAGGAAGAACCACCTACCCATCTCTGCTTTTATTGAATACATATTCTTAATTTCACCAAGTTTAGATATTTAAGTAGGAAATGTATCTTCCCCTTCCTTTCTCCAGCCACCTGAAAAAGCCTCCAACTGTTTCTTGGAATCTTGCTTAATCTTCAGGACAGCTATTAGTGAGATTGAGGTAACCTGGGAGCAAATCACAGGAGCCAGGCAGGAACAAGAAATCATTTGATGTCGCAAATGCAACCGCGCAAACAGACTGGTGTGAGTTAAACTGCCCCGACCACTTGTCCCAACACTGAATATTTCAGGTGTTCCCTCCTCTACACAGAGCTTCTCCAAAGACCCCAAAGCTTGAAATTTTCTGGACAGAGGCTCTGCTTTTGTTGTGAGAAATTCTTTCTATATTGTGAGCCTCAGAACGAACTAATAAGTTGGTTTTCTGAACGTGAACAAGGTCAAATTTTAGTAATTAATGCTTAATATAAATTTATGAGCCCTTTAAAGATTAAAATTATGCTTATTATTAAAGCAACAGTGATTTATTATTTTCCAGATATATTTTTCTCTGAGAAACAACCCCTGCTATGAAAGCTGTTTTTTCCACCTTCCTCCCAAATCCTGCAGGTATTTTCTGTTTCTCTTTCTGTGCTTTCTGTTCGCCCATGTAGAGTAGCAATTTTTGGCACATCAAGCACATTAGATAATTATATGTCAGTTGAGAAACTCTCAGCTTCTTGTCACTAGTCTATAAAGCTCTCTGTAATGTTGTAATACAATATCACTGATATCTCAAGGAGATAACATGTTAAGTGTCTACTGGCTATATAATTTGAACCAAAAATTAACAAAGAGAACTGATCTTTCGGTAAACATACAGTATATTTTTGTCATCTCTTCCTGATAGTGGTTTTGATAAGCAGATTTAGATGTGGTGTTATCCTCTGATTGCTTTTGCAGTGTACTTGCAAGACAGGGAACTCCTTCATAATCCCTCAGACAGATGGTTGAGAGGAATTTCCCAAGTACCCACAGATCAAAGATTGTTCCTTGTAAATGGTGATGGTTGCTGATATTACAAATCCACCCAGACATTTTATTCTTCCTGATCCTAAACACCCTTTCACTTCTCTCTGCCCAATGTGGATTCCCATTAGGTGGGAAGAACAATTTTAAGCAATCAAGAGTCAGTGTGATAACCTTAGATTGCTCATTAAGGACCAGGTTGTGAATGAGGGGTAGATGACAGAGATCTTTGAAATCAAAGAGGCATGGAAATGATGAGCAATTGTTCTCTGTCTTTTCCAAAACAAGAGCAAGGGGACATCAAATGGAACATGGAGGAGACGGGTTCAAAACAAACAAAGGGAAATGATTCTTCATACAATGTATAATTAAGCTGTGGAACTCCTTGCCACAGGATGTTGTGGATGCTGTAAATTTACATGGGTTCAAAAAGGACTGGACAAGTTCATGAAAGAAAAATTCTTCAAGAGCTATTAAATACAAAGACATTACCTCTGGCTCCGGAAGACGCTACAATGCAAATCTCAAGATGTTGTGAGAGTGCTCTGAGGAAGTCTCACTTTGCTACTTTACTTTTCCCCAAGCATGTATTAATTCTTGGCCCCTGTCAGAAAGAGGTACATGTGTTAGATGGATCCCTGTATAGCTGATACAGCTCTTTTTATGTTCTTGTTTCACACAGCTGACTTATTCAGGGAGCAGATCAAGTGATGCCCACACCATACTGTTCACTTTAAATGCTGTTTCTCCACTTAGACTAGTAAGTAGTCTGAAAATTGAGTGTATTGCTAAATACTTTTATTTTTAGGAACTTTATCTTCCCAATTTTCTGCCTAGAAGGTACAGAAAATAGCAGCTTTCTTGCTGGCTCAAGAGAGAAGGGCACAGTGGGCTCTAGAGACATCTCTCCTCCTCACTCTCCAGTTGGTGACATGGGCAGGCTTGTGTAAAAAATTGGGATGTCTCTTTCAGCTCTTGATCTCTCTGAGCTGTCTAAATAACCACCCCAATACTAAATAGTTAGTGATTCAGAAGCAGAAACACACATTTGGGATGCTTGACTCTGTGAAAATTGGCTGGGAAATCCCCCAAGTTTTTTATTCCTGTTACTGCTGGCACTTGGCAAGCCTACCAGTGCCTCCTCGACTAGATCATTGCCTGATAATGAGGAAAAGTGGAGAAAAGTTGAAGAAAAGTGCCTCCATCCTGAAAGCACTGCCTGGTGCTTTACCTGATAGCCTGTTCATTTTAAAGGAGGGAAAAATATCCCCTCCTCACTACCATTTATTAGCAGCTGGGTTTGAGGAGAGTTAGCACAGGGAACAAGTCCTGTCCTGCTCTGGAATATTCCTTTATTTGCACAGGCCAAAACCCTCATTAGCCAGCCCCTGGGTCCTGCAGGCTTAACCATTTTTGTGGGCTAAATTAACACTTTGGTGGTGAGGAGCCAGAGAGCCACTGCAAAATGAGCTCTGGCTGCCTGATGAACACCCCCATCCCGTGGGATCTGAAGCTGAGGAGGAAGCTCAGCTTCAGGGCCATTGCAGGTGCCCCAAACTGAGCACCCCAAAAGCATGGAGGCACTCAAAAAATAAAATCTCCGCTGAAGGATTTAACCTGGGTTTCAAAAGCCATTCCGTTCCCTTCCCAGAACCCCTAAAAAAGCCTTTTGGGCAAGGAAGGCAACTCTTCAGGCTCCACGGGTATTATTATTATTTGGAAGCCTGTTTTGTATTTGGAGTTGGCTGCTCCCTGGGTTCACCCAGGCAGTTTGGTGCATGCATGCCGAGGTGTATATTGGATGTGCCTAATAGCTGCAGTAGGTGGAGAGGGAGGAAGCTGTGATCCAAATGATGGGAACTCCTGGAGGGAGTTGTCTTGCCACTGGCATGCTGTCAGCGTGCCAATAAATGAGAAAGTTGAGATGATCAGAGGCAGCTATCTAAACAAACGAGGGTGAAAACTCCCAGCCTGCGTGGCAATCAGGCGCAGGAAGCTCATTCAGGGGCCATCCAGCTTCTTCCCATGGTTCAGGTTTGGTATTCTATGAAACACGAAATAGGCAGAAAATATCTCTGTGCCCAAAAAAAAGGCTCTGTTGCTGTTGTCTTTTCTGTCATGCCATTGCTTCTGACACACACCTCTCAGAGGATCTCTAGTGGAAAACATGAAATGAGAGGTGATTCACAAGCTCTTTGTGTTTGCAAGCACCAGAATTAGCCACTGAGTAGCACTATCCCAGTTCTGGAAGGGAAAGAGTTGCTCCTTAAGGTGTTGCAAATCAGGGACAAATTCACTGATGTTGTAGTGCTCTGGATTTCTTCCCTGCACAGGCACAAACCTGATCTCAATGGCTGTAAGGAAATCAACAAGAGATAGGAAGGTATAGAAATCATATATTAATGTTGCATGGGCAGGTAACATCCATAGCAGGCTGGACAAATGCATAGCTGGCTTTTTAAAATGTATAAATATACAAAAAAATATCAATATGTATAAATATGTTTTAAAAGTACAAATGCACAGCTGGCTTTGATCCCTGTTCAAAGTCCCGATATTCTTAATAGGCAGTGAAGGAGCTGAATTTTCACCTCTTACTTTTTACCTAGCAAAGCTAGAAATGCAGGGATTACTCTGGTCATCAGTGTCTTCTGTGCTCCACTTTTGGATGAAATGTCCAAAGAAGATGGAATGACCCTGTATTTTAACTTTTAATCCATTGAAGTGAGTGACACAGATCTCTCCCAATAAGAATGGGAAGATCTGAAAGAGACTTTCCAAGATACCAAATGAGTGTTTCAGCTGACTGTTGGAGATGTAGTTCATGGACTGACAAGAAGCCTGTGAAACCTGAATGAAAGACAATATCTGCCTCCAAATCTGGAGCTGGGCACCTGGCTTCTGAGAAGAAAAGAGCACAAAGCCCGACACCCACCCTTGGCCTTCCTGCCCCCAGACCAGGTTTTGCCTTGTGCTGTCGCATGTTAAACCCTTTCAGAAGTGCTTGATGCCCAATGCATTGCATAAGAAGCTTACTTGCCTAAATTGGGCAACTCCATATCAACAAAGATCCTAAGAACTAGAAGCTACTGAATTCCAAGTTGTGATAGACAAGTTCTTTGGGAGATGTAGATCTTTGATATCATGCCAATGGCAGAAGGGCTGGAATAGTTTAGAATAGAAAAAGAATAGGAGCTTTAATCCTTATTCATGGGTATCCAGGATCTTTAAAATCTGCAGCGTCTCTGAATGAATTTAGTTTACTTAGCACAACTAAGATACATTTGATCTGCTAAAGCTGCCAACCTTCTCATTCCTCAATCAGGCTGTTTATCACCTTTTACACAAGAGAGCTTTGCAGCCTATCTCTGTCCCTCCCTCCCTCCAGCTGAAAATCAGCCCTCTCCAGGAAATAATAGAATCAAATACATTCAATGTTTCATCCTCTTAAGCATATTAAATATGCCCAATTGAGTGCCATAAACACAATCACAAGACTTCTGAGTTCAACTACTAACCCTCAAAGCTATGTACTAATGACAGATAGTAAGTAAATAAATAAACCAGGCTTCCCCAGCCAAGTGGTGGCATTTGCAGACTCGTCAATAAGATCCCGAGATTTATATTCAGTAATGATTTTGCAAAAACCACCAACTGAACAAAAAACCCCACCTAAAGTATCTTCAGCTTCACCAGATTTCAATGAAAAACTGACAAAGCTCCTTAGTGATTTATGGAGCTGGGAGAAACAACTTGCATTGAATGTTTAATGGCAGTTTCACTTGGATATTCTGGATGTGCATAAACACAGAAAACTTATATATATTATGGCTGCATATGAAGTGACATATGGATAAGAGCTGCTTGAGTGATCAGAGAGAGAATCTGCTTCAAAAGAGGAGACAAAAGGGTGGTCTAAGGGTCAAAGCACAGAGTGCCCACATCCAGCTCTGCTGAGAACCAGAATAGAGCTGACAGTGATTTGTGGGGCCCAGATCAGACCAACACATTATCCCACACAGGCATATCTGTTATTCACTGGTGTCTTTAGTGCTGCACCGATGCAACATGCCTGAACAGAGCTTGTTGACTTTAAAATGCTCAGCAACAAAGGATTACAGGGGTTAGAAGTGCCCTGTGTAAATACTTTGAGACATAAACAAGGGAGAGTAACAAAAGCTATCTGAGCTAATGGCCAATGCTCTTACCAGAACCAATGGTATTAATGTCCAAGATTACAACTTAAACAAGGTCTGTATGATTTCAGTCATGTAGGGAGAGCAAAAAAGAGAGCAGGAGTTTTGAAATTATCAGCTGGTGAAAGGCATTGGTGTTATGACTGCCTAGAAAATGCTGCAACACAGAGATGTATTGCGTGTCCTATTTACTCTGGAGCAGTAAACACTCTCCAGAATGGCATGTGTACTTCACTGCATCACTTCAGAGCAGAGGTTCTGTGGGGAAACTTCTTTTCCATGCTGAGGGATGGCAGAGGTGTCAGAAATCATGGTGTTTTACCATAAGCTGTGAATTTTGTGGATTTATAGTACCCAACTAGGAGATAACAGTGATATTCCTGCAATGCTTTTATTTCTCCTTAAGAAGTTCCTCCATGCTAGGCTGAGAGGGCTGAGCAGAATTTCCTTGTTTCATGGAGTAAATACTTGTGGGGAGTACCATGATACTGTGAATACCAAGTCAGTGAGGGCAGACACTTTCCATGAGAGTGTTCTCACAGGCCCACGTCCAACATCTCACAGCAAACACAACAAAGATCTCCAGGGATTTTTCTAACTCATCAAATCCTATTTTTTGGTTCCTATGTTGACCCAACCTGAAGATCTGTATTCCCACAGAGAACCTGAAGACATGTGAGCATGATCAGCTTCCATCTGCCCTCATCTACATCTTTCTGAGGACTCAGCTCAAGGGCTCTCAGCTTAAATTCATTCTCTTGGGCTCTGTGTCTCTTTGCTTCATTAGTGGTGGAAAGGTTTGCCTGGATCTCAGGAAAAAAACTGTGAAAAGGACTCTGTGCAGGGATTATCTGTGCTGGAGGAACTTTTTGCTTGAGCCTGTCCTCAGGTTTCATCTCGAAGCAAAGAGAAATCAGGCCCTAACCCAACTTCTGCCCAGCTGAATAAATGAGCTCAGGCTTAAATGATATCCCAGAATAGGTGGGCTTTTTCTTCCCTGCATGGATGGTCAAGCATTTTGGATTACAGTTTGGGTAGCTTGTTTATATACAGGAGACAAATCCTAAACTAATATGAAAAGTATTCTACCCAAGAAACTTGAACACATAACTTAACTCAGAAGCTGACACCAGCTTTTATTTTTTTAAAGGTTATTTTTACTGCTAAATCTTAGATGTTCAGGTTTGCTGAGAAGAGAAAGAGCTAACTTCCTGTAACAGAGAAAGGGCAGAAATAAGCTTGAGACATGGGGAAGTTTTTCATTAAAATATGTTTAGTATTTCATATATTTAAATACTGCTAAAAATTCAACAGAATGCTTTTTTTGCTGACTTTTAAAATTATTATTTACAGTGCTACAAGAGATTATTTTGTCATGAAAGACTGTGCTGATCTGGTTTTTGCCCAGTTGTTGAATCTGGGGTACATTCTAGTGTGAATGCCTGAGAGCCAGAAAGCAATAATGATTAGAAATGCATTACTTTATATTCCTTATAGTCCATAAGGGAAAAAAAAAAAAACCACAAAAATCCACACATAAAGTAAGAAGCAAAAATAATGACAACAAATACCTTTACAGTTTGATCATAAA